AAGGGCACTTTCAAATTGCCTGTCATCAGTAAAAGCTGCAATTTCTGCCACAAAAAAGGGAATAAAGACGCACAGCCGGTGTAAACAGATATGAGCCTCTATCGTTGTAATCAGGTGGAAATTGTGAGGCCTGTGCACACATTCCTGCTGCTGTTGGGAGTGCTGATACGCATCAGGGCTGTACAGAGCACTATATTATGTTCCAAATAGTTATTAATTTTCATCTTTGCCTTATCATATTTAGATTTAGTTGATAGCATGGACAAACCTACATCCACAGAAACACTGATTTAAACATTTGCTTTTTCATATTTTAGTCAGCATATCAGTAGACACTTCTCCCTGCACACACTCATTTCTGTAATTGCTTTTTCATATTTTGGTTAATGGCAGTGGGTGTTTCTGTCCAGAAAACACACACACACACACACACACACACACACACTTACTCAGATCCATAAATGTGCAAACTAGAAGCAGAGATTAATGTGTTGTGTTTAAAACTAACCTTTTCTGTAAGTCAAGCGTTCTGCCGGGTTATTTCTAATTTAAAACTGGAGCTATACCAGCCCCTTAACATCCTCATCCTTATTAAAGACATTTCAGGACACGCTGTAGCCAGGGGGCACGGTTCAAATATATATGATTCAGTGTCATTTGCAGAGGAAATCTGGGTTTTAGAGGAAGTTAATTCTGCCTTTTGTGACTATAGAGTTGACAAATGTAGTCTGTGGTCCAAGGTTTTTCTTTAATAGTATTGTAAGAGGTGCAGTTGAGCCTGTAAAGTTTCACAAATGACTGTGTTACTGTACTGAAATTCTTGTCTTGATTTAGATTTTATTATTGCACTCCAATCCTCACACACAATTTGAGAGTAATCTAACCAAACCATTGCTGTATTGGGTCAGAAAACATACGGATAATTTTTTTCATCATCATCCTCATCATACATATTTTGGAAGGTATTGTGCAAATGCTGTTGTCCTGCCCATAGGAACGTCAGTGCTGGAAAGGTAAGCAACTTATTTTTTTCATTTAGTTTTGAAGGAGTTATTGACTACTTCACGCTGGTAATTGATTTTTTTGTAGCTACATAGGGTCAGTGTAACAAACTAAAAACAATGACATGTTATGTTGTTGTTATGGCTAACATATTAGCAAACTGTTGCATATTTATGATCCGGCAAACACAGAGAAACTTCTGTTCTGGTCTCCACCATCTCTTTTGGTCCCTGCTGCAAATGAGTTTTTTTGGGGCAAAAAACAAATCAATGAGCATAAAAACACCAAACTGCTCCATAGAAAACGGGGGAATTTCAGAGTTGGAGACCTGTGGGGGTTATCACTAAACGTACTTAGTTACTTTCTATCTCAGATATGTAACCTTTCCTGTGACTGGCACCATACCTGGCAAACCTAGAAACAGAGTTGACACAAGCTCCACCCATCTGGCAACCAGAGGGGTTTAAAACAAATGCTATGAATTATTTGCTGCTCCTATTTGTCCCTGCTTTGGTATACATACCCAATGTGTTTATCTGAAATCAAAGGGTGTGGCAAAATCCGGGTAATGAAACCCAGCTGCAGGCTGGCAAAGAGACTGGATGGATCCCTCACAACACGGGATGGGGAGAGAGAGAATAACACAACAAGAAAATCGAAAAACACAAACAGAACGAGTGATTTGCACACAAAAGAAAACTGAATCAAGCACAGCCCATCTACTGGAGAGAGGTTCTTGTAAACAACTGACCATGCTAAAACAATACAGCTGGATTTCCTCTTGGTAAGCGACGATAATCATCACTCACTGTTTACCACAGCAGAGAGGGGTTCCAGCCCCAAAAGCCTCTGGTTCCCCAATAAGACAAACGAAGCTGGATTCACTAACTTTCTCTGTGATGATGCATTTCTACAAGCAAGACTTGGCACTGTGACTCACAACGGTCCAAGATCAGGAAAAATGTGATTCGGGGTCCTTTTGTGTAAAGAGATAAAGTTTAGCTTTAGTGCATCTTTATCAGAAAACCTGAGTTTAAACCATAATTTTGGCATAACTTACCTCCTAACTATGACAAAATTTCTCTTTTTTTAATGTATTCTAAATGTCCTTAATATCCGAGAGCGTGGAACACTTTTTCCCCAGCAACATTTCTTAACCATTCCAAAACTAATCATTTCTCTTTATGGAAAAAGAGCTTATCATATGCAAAGTGCTCGACATCAATGTCTTCATATTCTCGTTTGAGAAATTCATTGCGCGGTGAATTCCCTCGGGAACGCTGCAGCCAAGTTTCTGCCTTGCAAAAGTTTTTTTTAATTTTTTATTCTCTCACTTTAATTCAGCTTGGCACGTTATTTCTCAGAAATACCGTCGGGCTCGGGGGAGAAACATAGACGTGGTCTCACTTGTTAGTGCGGGTTTTAGTGCTGAATAAGGATCAGACAATGGCTGAGGGGAGAGGGGCTGCAGTCTAGTGAGGTATTGACACAGGAGATATTGCCTGAACAAAGTGGATCCGTGAGAACAGGGAGAGAGCGAGCGTGAAGGAGGAAAAAAAGAGAAAGATTATCTTAATTATCATTCAGGAGCTGCTTAGTGCAGCACCTGTGCATGAATAATGTCATTTATAGGCACATTGAGATGTGCATAATTCCCCCTTAAATCATACACATTAGCGGAATAACAAGGGATGAACAAGTCGGCCTCTCGCAGGCTCAACTAGGAGCGAGGGGGGTTCATTGTCAGCCCCTCACCTCCCCAATAAGAATGTATTTCTTTATTCAAAGTCTCCACTCTTCTTTCATTTAACAATTGCTAGTCGGTCCAGAAGAGCTGTGAGGTTACATATCCTGCTTCACATTACCACGCTGGGTTTCATTTGTGCACTGTATGACTTCAAAATAAAGGATATTTTAGGGCTGGGAGTGTGATTTAACAGCAGAGAGGTCAGTGCATATGTAGAAATGTAGCTTGGATGTTAACCAAAGTGGATATTTTGTTGAATCACCGCACTTCCAACACACTCAACAAGAACTCCTCAGATTTACAGTAACTCAGGCTTATTAAGGAAAGTCAGGGTTGACTTCCTACATTGGTGTGAAACAGTACTATGGCTATGATTAAGATGTTAAGCCTAGTTCACACTACACAATTTTGACAACGATTTTCACCACGAAACATTTTTTACTCAACTCCAACTCTTTCTGTAGCACAGACAATCCCTGTGTGAGCTAATTCACTCTTTCACCCATATTCTGTTTCTTTATAATGTTTATCTTTTTTATAGTAAACAACTCATGTTTCACGCATTTGTGTCCCTTTTCACGTGTATTTTCGGGTGACAGAGTCATCAGTTTGTGTAGAGTGTGAACGCCACAATGACTTCAAGACTCCCATTACAAGACAGCAAGTTGTGTAGTCTGAGTAGCACAGCGATCTGCCGACGAAAGTCGCTTAGTCTGCAGTAGGCTTTAGTTGATTTTTTAGTTGGTGTCAAATCAAACTGGAGTTTGTGCACATTCGCATAAAAGAGGCAGGCAGAGTTTTTTCATAATGGCAAATGTGTTTTCCCCAGAAGAATGCACAATGATCATAGAGTATAAGGAGTGAACGTTAATGGGCAAATCTAACACAATAGAGTTCCTGTTGTAATTCTCTATTTTTTCTTATGGATTTAGATGTAAAGGTACAACTGAGTATTAGGGCCATTGTAGGTTTAAAAAAATACGGAGCCGGGGAAGAGGGGTAATAATCCAAGAAAAAGGAGAGTGGTATCTTAATGGGAAGAAAATCAAAAATCTACAATTAGAGAGCTTAAAAATTCTCTGAAATTACATTTATGAGAGAAACTCTGAAAAATTGTATTTTTTGTCAAGGAAACACATCGATTCACTTTGCTAAGCTGCAACATCCCTCCACAAGCACCGCTGCCATGTATTATGCCCATGAATATCAAATTATACTTTGCCCCTGGATTTAACAATGAGGAAATACATGTGACTTTAGCCCACAATTACTATATTATCATATGCTTACAGAATATGCAAGTTTAATTTTTGTAAATTTACCACTTTCATGTCGGACTACTACCCCCTTCTCCTGGCTCTATATTTTTTGTAAGTGTAAAATAGTCAATCTAAATATGTGAAAACATTTACGATAATTCAGTTATACACATGGGCTACATCTCAGAAATCGGCCTGTTAATGAATTAAGATCTACTCCCTAAATCACAGAAGTTACAACCGACGTCAGAAAGTTACTCCTGAAGTTACCTGGAAAAGAGAGTAACCTCACTTTGTAGTACAGGCCTCTGAACCCAAAAGTAGATCAACACAGATTCCAATGTCAACAACACTGTCAAATGTATGGGTGACATGAACATATTAGAATATTTTATATTAATGGCTTATTATTATTCATGCATTTATGTGTAAGCATCATTTCACTTTTAAAGCTGGTAAAGGTGGGGCTACTTCCAACTACATGAGACACTGCCATGTAGCTTAATCTATGAAAATATATATTTTGAATCAATATTTATAATCTACACAGTAACTTGTACCTTAAACTGTAAAATAAATGTTATTGAGTAAAAAGTACAGTTTTTCCCTCTGAAATGTAGTGAAATATAAAGCAGCATGACAATTACTTAAGTATACGTACCTCAAAATGTACTTGAGTGAATGTACTGTTCCTTTCAACCACTGATTAGTTGGTACTAATGTCCTAGTACTATGATAGAAGTAGCATAAGTGACAGTAGCAGTACTAGTAGTGATAGTGAGAAGAGTGCATGAGTCGTAGTTGTATTTTAGCAGCAGCAGCAGTACTAGTAGTACATATGACATTGCAGTTGATGCTCCAATCCTGTACACAGCATTGGTACTGAATTGAATACTAGACTTATTAAATGGACTGGGTATTGGAAATATGCATATTGACATAAAATATTTAGAGCAAGCTTTGTTGATGTGTTAGTTACAGCCTCATCTTACCTTACAAAGTATTTCATCTTCAGTCTTTGTGACGTTGAAGTAGATGAGACCCACTGACCTCATGCCAACTGGGGGTTTATTCTCTCCTCTAGATAAAACATAAAGTAACATAAAGTCAGTACATGAACTTCACAAGACTGGGCTTCCACATGCTCACACATCCTCAGCAGGCCAACTGATTAAACATGTGTCTGTGTTCCATTACATATATAATCATTGCATCACTCAAATGATAAATAAAATTAAATATGTTCCTCCCTGATATTACATTGACAGTTCTGACTAAAAGAAAGCAACCTTTAATATGTTATAATGAGTAAATGAAATTTCAACACTGAACAGAAACATAAGGTGTAGTTCACACACAACACTGCATGACAGAGGTTTGACTTCAAATACCTAAACAAAGTAAAATAAAATCAGTCCAGTAGCTTCATATGACTGAGCTTCTGCACACCTCTAAAAGGTGGAAGGAGAAGGAAAAAGAACAGCATTAGATACCCACCTGTATGCAAAAGCAAGCCTAGCTAAAAATTTGTAAATTAGCATAGCCTCCTACAATTAAGTGCTGGGCTGTATTTGACAAAAAACACTTTTCTATTATACTTTTTTCTATGAACAACATTGGACAATATCCACGTAGTCCACAAAGTAAGATTTATACCACTGTTAAGCATTTCCCCCACATTTTAACACTTACTTGACAGGAGCTCTAACAAATACACCTCTCCTCAGCATGGCCTCTGTGCACTAGGGCAGAACAGAGGACAGGTAGTGACATCACAAACAAGGTCAAAGGCCACATAATGCATCCAAAATTAAATAAATGTATCCAAAATATCCAACAAGATATACCGAGACAAATATGTACCTAAGTCGTTTTATTGAAGGGGAGAAAAAAAGCTCTCCAAGCTAAGAAGCTTGCTATCTGTTTGCTAACTGTTGGCAAGTGCGTTAGCTTGGTTGCTAACTGAACAGTATGTTCACACTGTTTATTCAAAAGACATGCTAACTCACACCACAACATTCTGTATCGTAACTCTAGTATTAACAGTACCAGCAGGAAGTGTAGCAGTAGGTGCAGTGGCAGTAGATGTGGTAACATATTGTGCAGTAATAGTAGCAGTAGTAGAAGTCCAGCTAGTATTAGTCCAGTCTAATAATAGTACACTGAACCAGTTCACAATGACACTGCACCTCTCATCTGCATACAACAGCTTTGGTAGGTAGGTAGATTTATTTGTCACGATATAACAGGTCATATAGTGAACTTGAGTTTGAAACTCCATTCTACTACATAGCAGACAATATACATTAATTTAGAAGCAATTATAAAAAATGGTAAACAGACATAAACTATAATCAATGGAGCAGTGCAGAGGATGAATTTGAGCTTAGAATCTGAGAGCTTGGGGGACCACTGTGTGTTTTACGCTTCATCTAAAGGTAATTTGAAGGGTTTCAAATAACCAAAAGTGAAGTGATTCGTGGCTCAGGCATCATATATACACGCTTTGGAAAAGCCATGTCTATTGTACGTAAAACGGCAATTTTGATCCTGAACTGGCACAGACGTGTGTATGAGACGCCCCAGGGTGTTTTTGTTTAAGGAGTTGACAGCCCCCGAGGCAATTTCCCTAACCTCAACCATGGCATTAGTTAGTGCCTAAACCTAAGTCAGTAAATATATGCATGTTGACTGGCTACAGCTGTGCAGCAGGTAGGGTTAGCCTCCTTTGTGTTGCAACGCTATTGCAAACTGCAGCGTATCATATACACACAAAATTGCCGTTTTGCGTACAATAGACACAGCTTTTACAAAGCGTGTGTATGTGACACATGAGATGAGATCAGGTGGTTGGGTTATAGTCTACATGACATTTATTCTCTGAGGTCCTGTTGTTCTTGTGCATACCAGAAAAGAGCTTCTGATCCTTCATCCTAACCATGTTCACCATGAAGAATACATTAGCGCCCAGTGTAGTCAAACAGTCCTTGAAAATGACTGCTCAGGACTCAATTTGAGTACAAGCTGGGTGGGGTTTGCCAAAACAGTCCATACTCCAGAGCTGGAAAGTATTTGTCATCCAAATCAAATTTTGTGTTGCCACGGGAGACGTGGGTCCACACAGAGAGGATACATACAGTACGAAACAAGAGTAGTAACAAGCCTGTCATCACGGAGAAATGTCAAATATTCCGCCCCACTGCCGACTCCTCTGTGCAGCTCGCCGCTGTCGAGGCCCGGCCCACGCTGTCAAAAGTTCACAACAACAACAGAGGGCATTGTGGGTTTTCTCTAATCAGAAGGGCCTTCCAGTTAGAGCTGAGCACTTCTGAATTCTAACTATGCCAAAAGAGATATGGAGTAGGATTAAACTCGGTGTGTGTGGACCTCCTCTATGCTGGGGTCAAACTGCAATTTTAAAACACTTTGAGCACTCACTTTTAGCCAGGGTGGAGGGCCTGGTGGGCGGGCATCGCCATTTTGGGAAAATGTCAGTCGGTCACAGAAAGCGATTTGATTGGATCTCTTGGACTGAACTCAGGGGGAACAATCACATATTTTCTCACATATTATTCCCCAAACTGAGAGCAGCTTCAGTCATAATTTAAGTATGAGCCATAACCCACAGAACTCAAAGTTGCAAAAAGGTGTTTTATGACACCAATAAATCATCACCATGTTCACTTTTAGACATGAGTGTAAAACCACTGTGTAAAACACAGGCATCACACCAGCCTGTACTCCAAAAAGAGGAAAGGGAGGAGCTTTTCACAGCTGGAAAAATGCGAACAATGTCAAAAGGTGATGTAACTTCTCCAGCACCAGATCAGTCTGCAAAAATAGAATCATAAATTCTTGATAAAAACTTTTTTATAAGCTATTAGTAGTAGAGTAGTGATAAAGTGAAGTCACAGCAGTATTTGGTTCATGCCTTTCTTGTTAGTACAAAATGTTACAGTATGTAATTACAAAAAAACATCATCATTGCTTTATTTTATCTAAGTACTTTAAAAGTAAACAAAGATAGTTCAGTAACATACTGTTTACATAACTAATCTCTCAGCTCATGCACCCCCAAAAAACAAACATTACTACCCTGAATTACAGGAACAACATAATGATTTATATTCAGATCATTATTCTTAATACCTCTGAGTATTCTGGTAATATTTGATAATTGCAGTGGAGTGACCTTAGGACAAATGCCATTTTGAGTTTAAAGGATGACGACTAATCTAAAAGATGTAATTCCCTCTGAATATTCGGAAGGCCCCGTCAACGCTCCATATCCTGTTTAAACTCAAGTTTTATTTATCCACTGCTATTTGATATCTTTAAGATACTGCGATACAAATAAATTATTCATGTCAATTAGCTTTTCATCTTCCAAGATGCGAACTTGTGTGATCCCTTTAACAACTATTTATTTCATGGTAAAACAGAGCTCTCCCTGGAAGCCTAGCTATTGCCTGAGGACATGTCTTTTAAATAAAAGCATCAGAGCTTTGCATACCTACAATTTGCATATTAAAGGCACTGGGAGACAGATGATAGAAGAATTGGGTGAAACAATCTAATCATTGCCCAAATCTGACTGGAATCCCAAAGTCTTGGACCTTCAGAGACGTGACGACAGCAAAGAAAATGTTCACAAATTAGCAAAGAATCTTTTCAAGTTGTTATTGGAACTTGTTTGGTTGATCCTGGGAGCCATCGGTCTCTGCAGTGTTTTCTATGTGTTCCACGGTGTTCCTGACAACTCAATTCCTTTTCCTGCACTGCTGCTTTCACACGTTGGTGTTGGGGGGACGGGGTGAGAAGAGCTGTCGCGTTGTAGGTCCAACATAGCAGGGAACACAAGCAGTTGATCAGAAGTTTTGTACACACGGCAATAATTTAATCCTTAAAGATGAAATTTCACCTGTTTTATTTTCTAACGAGCTGAAAGATAAACCCCATTATGTGTAATGTCAGTGGAGTATTCATTGTCAACATGTTCTTACTTTAGACGCTGGTGCTTTTCCTGGGGTTGTGGATTTTTGAAGGAACTTTCAAACTTTCAAACAGGCTTTGACTCCAACCCTGCAACAAATACAAAGTGGAGCTGTGAGTGTGTACGTGTGTCCTCAGCCTACATCATGCTGATCACCTCTATGTTGCTTCCCCGTGGCTATAAATGCGCTGTTTAGGCAGAGACAGGAAGACACCAGCTAATATCATAGTCAAAGGCTTCCAGCTCTGTAGTTCTGCGGTAAATCTGCCATGCAATTTGGCCGAAAATAGAATAAATTGATCCTGAACTGGCACAGACGTGTTTTTTATGGTATGTTCTGGTTTATAAATCTTAAGGTAGGTGAAGTCGAATTAGATGCAAGCAAATGCTTCATGCTGGTGCTGCAAAAGAACACACACAATTGTTAGAAAAAAGGAGCTCATAAATCTACAGATTTGATGAAATGGATGGAAGGTTCGAGAAAAGATTAGCAGCAAATCATAGCTGGAAACGGAGTGAAGAAAAATGAAGATGAAGGTTGTTAGATGTGGATGGAAGCTCCCTGACTGGACCTTGTGCTGAGATTTTAAGTCACATAAACTCTTAATTTCAAGAGAGTAAATTTCAAAATGACAAAAAAAACAAAAACAACAACAAACCTTGAAGGAAGGAAGTAGGAAAGACAGAGGAACAAGATAGCAGAAATGTAAAAAAGAAGGAAGGATGCTCTGAGTGTGGACATGTAGCGCAGTGAAGTGCAGAGCAGTAAACTTCTCAGCCAGCGTCACTCTGACTTCCTCTGATTTGTTTGCCCTGTGGCTACCAGTGTCCTGCATCAGCCAAGACAGACAGGATAAGAGCTACCCCGAGTCCATCTACCCCACTGCTAACGGGTCACATCACACGCCGGTGTCACTCGCATGTCCACTCACTTCGGACCTGACCCACTTCACCCAGTCCAACCACTACTACACCACCATCATCATCAACATCATCATCCTCCCTGCCTCAGCCAATAGGCCCTGACACCCTGAAATCAGAGCCATGCAGCTATTTAAAGCCAGAGGCAGCGGCCCTTTCACCGACATCGTCAGCGACAGCAGATTGATGCTCAGCGAGATCACGCAAATGAGTGCAGCAGGGTGTTTATGAGAAACAGATCATTGCAGTAAAGAAAACTTCTCTGGCAAACTTCTTGGGGGAGAATGCCCATGTGTTAATGCCTCTGTGTTTGTGTGTTGTTTAAGTAAGGATTGCAGAAAGAAAGAGAAAGACAGGAAGGACAAAATGTTTTTTTGTTTTGTTTTTAAGGATATGAATAAACACTATTGTGCTCTAGGATTGGGTGTTTTGACAATTAATTTAATTTACAATTAGTCAAGAAAGAAAAATATACTGAAAGAAAGAAACCAATGACAAGAAAGAAAGAAGGAAACTGCAAGTCGTCCTCCATCTCATTGCCGTGTCTCGTGTGACACATTGGCCAGACGTCCTGGCTGTGTGTCGTAAGCAGGGTCCGAGTGGCGCGCCGACTTCCTCAGCACACATGGCGGAGAGCTGCACAGCTTTGCTGCCACCCTCACCCCTCGCCACCGCCCTCCACAGATCCATTTAGAGCCTCCTTCCTGGAAGATTCCACCTCGCGTCGCCCAGGGGACAAATGTGAATCGTTACAGTCAAACCGGCTTTGTTACAAACACTACGGTCTCACTGCTAGCATGCCGGCTGGGCCCTGCTGATAGCTAGTGCCAAGGTGGGCCT